TCTTTTTCTTCTTCCTTCCTTCTTCATCGCGGTTCTTCTTCTCTTTTTTTTTTTTCTTTCTTGTAATGCGACAGAGAATCATGTAGATGCTGATGCCATGATACGGGCTGCGGCTGTTGTTTGGTCGATCTAGATTGTTCACTCGCGCCCCAATTTACCTCCCAAAGTCATTGTGAGGGAACACGAACTAGCGTGAACGAATCCAGAAGCTGAATTCGAAGACATCTGATCCATGTTCGGTAGCAAGGGATAGTCAGTAAGCCAATCATAGCTTCGTCTTCAATTGCTGGGCACACCAATACATGATGTATATACTATATCTTCCGTCCTCAGCCTCACATGGTCTGTATTTGGGGGATGGTTGTGTTCCTAGCAATGCACAGAAGGAAAAACATGTCTGTGTCCGCCGTCCGGAATCTCTACTCTCATTGCGACATCACAAAGGGTAAGTCTTCTTGACAGTTTTCCCAGTACCCGTTTAGTAACGTCTTTTTGGAGTTTGGACCCTAGAAGGCTAGAAGTTCGAGTTTTGCTTAGCTAGCCGCAATTCAGCAGTATCCTTGAGGGAACTGATCAGTGTTGCTCTGACCCGCCTTTTTTTTTTTTTTTTTTTTTTATGTTTCAGTCTATAGATACAGAGATAACAGAGATAACAAACGTACGTTCTATTTGAGTGAAGATGATAGGGCTCCAACATTATCATTGATTGGAATCGGTTCCGATTTTCGCACTACAAGCCTTACACCTTGCCTCCAAATGCATGCAATGTGCATTCATTGTTTGGTGTTCGTGCTGTGGTTGTATGGGACCATTGATATTGATGTTGTATCGATGGTAAGTTGGGGTAACCATGGGATTGCAGTTGCAATAAGTGGAAATTGGATCCTTCTCCAGTCCAAGGAAGAAAGAGAAAAAAAGAAAAAACCCAGAAAACCAACTCTTTAGGAGACCTGATGGAGCGATGAACAAAAGTGAAGAAGCAATTGGACCTATACCATACGAGAAAGATATCCAACAGGCAATCGAACGCTTCTCAGAAGAATGTTTGGGGGATCACCAAGGGGGCTGGATTGCCAGCATCCACTGGGGAGGAATAGACCAACCTAAAGAACAAGCGTCCAGAAGAGACTACAGACTGGAGTTCATTGACTGGACCAAGATCAGCCCGGCAGTACCGTTGGGCCCCCCTTCGGCGTTCCCAGATCTCTTCCTGCGCAGTGGTTCAGTGGATGAAAAGCAGCCGAGAGAAACAGGCACAGCCAGTGATACTTTTGCCCATCTGGCGGCCACAGGAGGCTGAAGAGGCTGTGCAGCTGTCACAATTTCCCTATGTCTGAGACAGAGAAAAACTGAACCCAGGTAGTGGTCTCGGGGCAGAGGTTGGAAAGAATGTACAATGGGACGCTCAACCGGGTCTCCAGCAGCTGCCGCTCCCCACCAATAGATCGGAGCATCTAGGGACGGGGCGGCTAGAAGGAGATGCTCATATCACTCCCTCTAGCGGGCCCGGCCCCAGATTTCTTGCGAAAAAAAGAAAAAAGAAAAAAGAAAAATGCAATGAACCCAGTCTGGAAGGAAACTTGTCAATGTCGAAATACAAGATGTCTCAGCGCCTGTCAATGTCTCCAATAATCATGAATGTGATCTGAAGTTCAATGTCTCGTAACCAAAGGACAAAGCTGATAGGAGGGAGATAAGACTTAGAGGGTGGAAGAGAAAGTATCCATCAATGTCATCGAAGATAGATCTCCCTCATATCCCACTCCTCCTTCGGGCATCTCCCGTCTTCCACATCAGCAAACGGTATCCCAAAGACGAGCCTGACAAGAACTGATCACAGCATAGTGCCACGTAGCCACAGATCTCTCATGAAGATGTCACAGCAGCGCGCAATGTCGACATCATCAATCAGGTAAGCTTCCCTCTCTCTCTCACAGCCAATCTCACAGCCCTGATCTCCCTCCTCGTCAATACCCCAATCTGTGTCAAAGACAATGTGGCTAACGCCAAGAGCAGAGAGGCGCCAACACGCAATGCAGCAGTCTCGCGTCGTCGTCACACACAATGCCAGAGTAGTGCCAGCGTCAAACCAGCGTCCAGTCAGCTTTGTGCCAGCGTCGAGCAGCAAGTGCAAGACTGAGTGTCGATGACAGGGGCTGGGTCAATAAGTAGTGTAGTCACAAGTTGACCAGCCTCCGGTCTCCCGGATACGAGGGTTCAGATTGACTCACAGTCAGTGGACTGGATCTCCTACGGTTGCAGACTTCCACTTGGACCAGATTCTGCCTGGATACCTGCGTACAGCCAATGTGTGTGTCGGATCGGTGGCTTGGACTGGGTTCGTGCAGACTTTGACTCGTGAGCTTCCATAATTTTTTTTTGTTCAGAAAACTTCGAAAACATTATATGTTACGTAGAATGATAATTCAAACAACTTTTATATGGGAGACATGTCCAAATTCGTAACCAAACTCGAGTTAAAAAAAAAAAAGATAAAAAAAAAATGTTCGACTAAACACGTTCGGGAGACGGTCAACTGAACACCCGAATATTTTTGGACGTTTGGAAAAAGCCCCGAACATGTTCGGTGTGTTACACAACTTTCGATTGCGCATCCCGTATAAAAAGTGTCTACCCAAGATTTTTATGAACCCTAAAATGACTAACTATTTCAAATTTTTAACAATTTCAACAGTGCTTCCCATATGAAACGGAGATTGTCAAAATTTATACAAAGTTGAAAACGAGAAAGCAAAGTACAACTATGCTTGATTCTAATTTCTGACAGTTAGTTGACAGTTGGAACTAGAAATGGTCTGCATGTCCCTTTTTGAAGATGACATTGTGAGCTATCACCAGTCTTAACCCTTAGTAAGTTCTGTCATATCTTATCCCAAGCTTCCCTCACATCATGCGTTCTAGTCTCACTAGGTGAGCTTCTAAAGCAGCTAAGCTATTGAAAGATACCCCAAGAGGTAACGCACGAAGCACACATGAGTAAGCACAATAACATCTCTCACAAAACCCTCAAATCGTTTATCAAATACATAGTTCGTTCGTTTCTCAGTTAGATTTAACCTGTATACCCTTTCTTGTCTATGACATAAGGTTAAACTGCCTCATCCTCACCCACANTCGTTCGTTTCTCAGTTAGATTTAACCTGTATACCCTTTCTTGTCTATGACATAAGGTTAAACTGCCTCATCCTCACCCACAAAGCACACACGAGTAAACACAATAACATCTCTCACCAAATCCTCAAATTATTTATCAAATGCATAGTTCGTTCGTCTCTCAATTAGATTTAACTCTTATATCATTTCTTGCGTATGGCATAGGGTGAAACCGCCCCATCCTAGGGGTACGTTCAACCTGCCTAAACAATAGTATAAAAATATATGACTAGACTGCCTCATCCTAGAGGTATGTCTTGTTCATTTAGACAATAGACATAAGGAATATGACTAAGCCGCCCCATCCTACGGGTACGCTTAGTCAACTTAAACCACTAGTATTTGGCCCAACTATCGGCCGAGGAAAAAAAAAAAGTGAATTTGGGCGCTCGTGTATTGGCCCGTATGTTTTCTAAAATTGTGGCGCGTTAACGGGCACGACTTGAGGAAGTACTGGTGGTTTAAACAATTGACATAAGATAGATAATTAGATCCTCTCATCTTAAGGGTACGTTCAGTATCAGTCAATCAATGATATAAGGCATATGATCAGGCCTCCCCATCCTAGGGGTACGCCTGATATCTGTTTAGCAACGTCATAAGGCATATGATTAGACAACCTCATCCTAGGGGTTCACACAACCGCCAAAACAATCGCTTGTGACAGAAAACTTTACGATCTTATCCTAGGGGTACGCTTAGCCTGCCTAAACAACAACTTCATAATAAGTGATCGGACCGCCCCATACTAGGTGTGCGTCCAGGCTCCAAAGCAACAATAACAACATTCAATATGTAAATTCACTAGTTCCTTCTCTCTTCTGGCAGACGATCAGACAACCCCATTCTAGGGGTACGCCCAACCCTACTTAGCCGTTTTTCAAACTGAATAACCAGTTTTATACTAACTCTCTGCTTGTTTATGTTATCACGAACATAGGACTGGACCGCCCCTTCCTAGGGTACTGGTTTGTCTGGGTTACCATCAATATTATATTTTTAATTTCTCATAATCTACTTCGTCTTCTAATTGGCTCATTGACTGGACCGCCCCATCCTAGGGGTACATCATAACTACCGAATAATACACTCTAATATATAATATCAGTTTTTATATTCTTGATTCCGTTAGGTTTACGACTCATGACTAGGTCGCCGCATCCTAGGTGTACGCCTAGCCACATCCCTTTTCTCCCTTGTAATGAAAGCAAAGAACTGAATCCACACAATCTAGAGTGAACCCAACTCTTTAAAAAAAACAAAGAAAACAGGGATTTTGGGTTTCCCTACCTAAAGTTTCATCCTCCGTTCATAAACC